TTCTATTACTTTTATTTAAAAGTCAGATGATAATAATATGTCTTAATCCTTTAATAACAACTGCTTGAACATTGTACTCTTATTCAGCAGTTGTTTGTAATAAAGAGGATTTTTCCTTCCAAATAAAATAATGCATGAACTGTTGACCAAAAGGCTTTAAAATAATGTATGTGAGCAGGCAATTGCTTATTTTTGTGTCTTTCTTTAGAATACTAAGCAACAAAGAAGCAGTTCTAACAATAATAATTTAATTTGAGAAAAAAACCTTGAACCCAAACAGTCTCCGTAGAACTTTTTGCATAATTAGGTTATATATCTTCTCAATGGAAGAAGTCTTGCCCACGGTCACATTCTGTAAATGAAAATACATTTTGCATAAATTAGTGAAGTTGAACTGCTGAGATTCTTTATAAAATGTAATAAATATTTCCTAATTTTTAAAATAATTAGGAACCATAATTTTTAATTTTCTTTGCTTATACATATATCTATTCATCTTTTAGAGAATTTAGAAAACAGTTGATACTTTACAGTGAATAATTGGTGCTTTATAATATGAAATGAAATGACATAATATAAACATGATGTTTGAACTGTAATTAGGAAATTTCATTCCCTCTTAATATGGTAAAGCTTTTTGATACAGTGTCATTTTAGGCATATTAAACCTGTGTGAAAGGAATGAACACTTTTCTAAGTATTTAGAAAAAAGTTAAATTTCTATACTATTGTCAATATAAATTCTAGGAGGATTAAAGTTTTAAATTCTTAATAAAAGAAACTCTAGAGTATTAAGAGATAGTGTTGGTGAGTATTTATATAAGTGGAGGGAGAGTTGGAAGTTATTTTTCAGCATTACACCAAAGGCAGAAATCACAAAGGAAAAATTTTGCTAGATTTGATCACAAAATTGTAAAATCTTCTTTGCATCTTAAATGATAGAACTGACAAACAAATGAGGAGCTGGGAAAGGTATTTACAATATATTGGGTTTAATGATATACAATAAATTGCCATTTTTGTTAAAACTGACTATTGGCAATTTCATATGTTAATTATGAAATTAAAATATCAACTACTTACAAATTAAGGGAAAAATAGAGATATAATTTGAATATTCAGTTAAAAGGAGGAAATGAGATGGGGACTAAACATATAAAATTTTTTTTGTAATAATTCGAGACACGCAAATTAATCGTGAGAACCTAGTTCATTTAGCAAATTGGCAAAGATTAAAAATGCACAACAACCAATGCTGAAGAGATTGCAGTGAGATGAGACCTCTCACTTACTGAGGCTAGAAGTGTCCATTGTATTGCTGCACCAAAGATTCAGTTCACACAGTAGACATTAAAATTTGTTAATGTTGATGCTTGTGCTTCTAGTAAGTTATGTAATATTACATATATGTAATGTGTGTAGTAACACAAAATTTAAAATAAAAAATATGATTTTGGGGCTTCCCTGGTGGCGCAGTGGTTGAGAGTCCGCCTGCCGATGTGGGGGACACGGGTTTGTGCCCCGGTCCAGGAGGATCCCACATGCCGCGGAGCGGCTGGGCCCGTGAGCCATGGCTTCTGGGCCTGCGCGTCCGGAGCCTGTGCTCCGCAATGGGAGAGGCCACAACAGTGAGAGGCCCGCGTACCACACACACAAAATATAATAATAATAAAAATATGATTTTGTTACAAAAATGGGCTATGCATTAAAAAACGTTGTGGTGTTTGTGTATGATAGAATATTAATTTCATGTAAAAATGTTGGAATGACATGAGAAACCAGAACCATCATAAATATTCAAGAAATATTTGTTGAATGGATATGTGGGTGTCCGTGCCTGCACACACACACAGAGGTGTGTATCATGCATAGGACAAAAATACTGACAGAATATATGCTAAAATAAAAAAAATAAAATGCTCAAAAGCTAGATTACAGGATGACATCTGATTTTTAAAAATTTTCACCTTTTTAATTGCATGTATTAGATACCTTTCTTTAAGAAATACATCTTACTTTCATTTTAAGAAAAAATACATACTATTTTTTAAACTATAAACATAAGTGTAGTAATCCATACATCAAGGAGATTTTCTCCTATGTTTTCTTCTAGTTTTACGGTTTTGGGTCTTATGTTCAAATCTGTTATTATCCATTTCAAGTTAATTTTTGTGAGTGGTTGTAAGATAGGGGTCCAAGTTTGTTTTCCTGCACGTGGTTATCCAGTTTTCCTGACATCATTTATAAAGAGACTATCTTTTTCCCATTTCTGAGCCCTCAATTCTGTTCCATTTTATGCCAGTACCATACTGTTTTGATTATTATAGCTTTGTAGTACTATACTAGTTTGAAATCAGGAAGTGTGATACCTCCAGCTTTGTTTTTCTGTCTCATGATTGCTTTGGCTATTTGGGTTTGTTTGTGGTTCCATACAAATTTTAGGATTGTTTTCTCTATTTCTGTGAAAAATGGCCATTGGAATTTTGATAGAGATTGCATTAGTAATCCATAAATGTTTTTCTAATAGTAGCATTTCTGTATATATAGATTGCTATATAAACATATCTATAAATTCTTTATTCTAATTTTTTAATTGGAAAAAAATTTAGGAAGACCACAATGTTTTGCAGAATTTTCAGTACATTAAAGTCTACATGGCCAGGATAATATGCTATTAACACTGCCTACAAGTTTATCTGGGACTTACTCAGAAAATCCCAGTGGTAGAGTTGGAGTTGTACTGCTTCAGAGTTGATCTGTGTCAGGTCATTGGACAGTTCTTCATGTTGTGACAACGCTTGCCTTCGTTTGAATTCCACTTGGTCCCACTGTCACTGACAGCAGTAACCCAGAAATAAGAGTTTTAGAATACTTGGAAAATTATTTCTGGATTGTGTATAATGGACAAAAGGTATCATTTCTTATTAAGATATTCACTTTTGAAAACCATCCTTAAATTCTTCTACCACTCACCTAGCATTTTCATAGTCCCTTTTTAAAAAATGAAGCAGTTACCTCATTATTGTGAGCATAATTCATGTCTATGAATTCACAGATGTAACTGCAGTTGGATTTTTTAAAAGTTCTCCTGCATTTCTCCCTTTTTTTTTTCTCACTTTCATAACCAAATCCCTCAATAAAAAGTGATTATTGGGGCTTCCCTGGTGGCGCAGTGGTTGAGAGTCCACCTGCCGATGCAGAGGACGCGGGTTCGTGCCCCGGTCTGGGAAGATCCCACATGCCGCGGAGCGGCTGGGCCCGTGAGCCATGGCCGCTGAGCCTGTGCGTCCGGAGCCTGTGCTCCACAACAGGAGAGACCACAGCGGTGAGAGGCCCGCGTACCACAAAAAAAAAAAAAAAAAAAAAAAAAGTGATAATTACCATAAAATGATCCAGAAGATGAAGCAATTTATTAAAATAAAGTAAAATATATTCGATAGATTGTTCAAATGAACTATCTTTTTGGATTAAAAAAAATCTTTCACAAAATGAATTCTGTGTTCTTCCACTGTCCAACATACCTCTGAAGGATACATGAATTTTGGTGTGTGACCATTTATTCTATTTTTAAATTCTATCTGTACTGATATTAAAAAACATAAACAAATATTTTAATTTTAGGAATAGGAATAACTTTTCAATAGTAAATAATACGTTTTGAAAAGAAAACGTATACATTAAGACTAGCAATTTTAGAAAGGAGTAATACTTATTGAGACTTAACAGAACTCAAGATTTTGATAGACCCTTAAATAGCAAATATTACAGTATTTATGTAATGCCATTGGAATACAGCAGGATAGGTAAACTAAACAGAAAAGGAAGGTCAAAGCTAATTTTAACCTTTGTATTTGTTTAGCAAACTATTGTATTTATTATATTTATCCCCTCATCTCTCTCTTCTGTTTTAAGGGTATTATTATTTAAGAGCAAGAAAATTTAGGTCAGAATACCCAAATTACGTGAAAAATCAGACCTCAAGACTATCTGTGAGGCAGAAACAATCCAACTATTATTTCTGGTATAAAAATTTTTTTGAATAACATCATTTGCCCAGAAGCTGTTTTCCAACCTAATAACTCTTGGAATTACAATCTAAAATTTCAGGAGGGTTAAGGTTGTGTAACTACTAGAAAGTATAAGTGTGCAGGAATGTGACCAGAGGTGAAATCTGATTTAAAATTTCTTTGAGGAAGCTCTGGTTTGAAACAGTAGCCCTGAGAAAGTTAAGAATACTACATAGATAAATGTGGCTCAGCAAGCTTGTCTTAGTTAAACATATACTAAATACTTGCACAGCCATCTCCAAGACATTCATTAACTAGGGTTTTAATCTATTTTCTTGATTTTAACCATCTGGTTCAATTCTCCTTGAACAAAATTACTCAAAATGCACAGAAATATGGTTCAACACATTCTATATTGGTTCGTCTTCTTTTTGGTAATTTACTTCATGAGGCATTTTGGAGGTGATGTGTGATGCACACCAAGTCTGTTGTTGGCAGACCCATTTTGGATGCGCCTACCATCTTTCCACTCCAGTATTTCGTAGAAGTTGTGTCAAGAGTTGGTTGGAAAACAAGGAGGCAGAAGGCATCTCTGTGTAGCAGTTATACCATCAACGTGCAAAGCATGGTGCTCGTTGTTGCAGAGGATGCAACCATACGTAAAATGGGATCCTGCGTCTAAAAGCTGTGATAAAGTACTGGGGTGTAGTTGGGGGTGAGTATGGCAAAAGTACATGAGTCCCTCTGGTGAAAGGCAGAATGCCAAGATCCATAGCTCACTTCTGAGTACTTCGCTTCTGAATGCTGTCTTTGGTATACATGCCGGTGTTCTCAAGATGAGGTCAGCTTGCCAGTAGTTTAATCATAGGCATTTACTTTAACGTTTGGCTACGTAGAGAACCTGAACTCCACTTCTTTCAGAAACAACGATTTCATATTTGTTGCCCCGCAATGTCTAGGAGAAACCCAATGGTGACAAATGATATTTTGCAGATATGGTTTGAGGGGTATGCATTTCTTCTGAGATGCCCTGAAATCCACCTCTGAACTAAGCCAGGGATGCAGAGCTGTGTCCTTGCCTTCTGAAGACCCCAAGTAAGTGACTTTTATGACCTATGCTTTAATGTGGTGTCATTGGCCCTGATTGAGGGCTGCTGTAAGAGAGAGCCCCGTAAAACTCATTATGCCTACCAAGAATTGTGTTGCAGAAGTATTTCATTGCAACCTGGCATATCCGTTCTATAAGACTACTTGGGAGAAAATTCTAACTCCTCTTATCAGGTGCTACTCCTGATGTATAATATTTACTTATTTATAGAAAAAAGTAGGTGCTGTATATCTAAAGCATGAATACATTTTAAAACTCTTTTTATACTTTTACTGTTCATCCTCTTTAATGCTTAAATCAATGTGACTAAATTTTTTAGTAGAAATGTCAGCTGAAGGGGGGTCCAAAGGTATTAACTTATAAAATAAATACATCATGGGGATATAATGTATTGATACAGCATGGTGACTATAGTTATTAGACTATTTTTATCTAATGATGCCTGTGTATTGTGTAACTGACCAGTGTTCCTTTAGTCATTCACTACTAGAAAACTTAGTGCCAAGTTTGGAGTCTGCCTAGCCAAAGGTATAGACATTGATGGAATGTATTTACCATAATTATACCCTTCTTTTTGTTTTTACTTCCACCATCTCATATACTTTTAACTGATATTCTCTGTTATATTTCATGTATCAGAGAAGGAAGAGGTTTCACGGGCAGGGAATGAAGTAGGGACACGCTGTGGACAAGAAGTGAGAATCCCAAAAGGCATAGCAAAGACAGTAATATTTGAGGTGGGCCTTGAGTGGTGGAAACGAGGAGAGCTTGAGACAAGCATGAGCCAAGGTTCAGAGGAAAACTGTGTGGTTCAATTTGGCTCAGAAATATTAAGGCAGTAGTGACATAATCAGTCTGTAAATTTCAGATTGTTTAACTCAATCTGAGGAGCTTATGCATAATCTTATCTAATTTGATAAGTAATAAGATTCCATTCTTTTTTTTCTTCCATAAGAAAAATGTCAATATTTAGTATGCTTTGTCCACTACAACAAAGCTTTCTCTGGTATGTGGTATGGTATGGATTTGGGGGGAGGGGGAAATGGGGGCATTCAAGAGACCAAAAATAAAATGTAATATAAATTCTCCAATAGAAACTGTATAAATGCATTTAATGAGAGTAGGTGTTGGTAACCATGGCAAGTCTGATTAATACAAATTCGTTTTAATGATACTTCACTATAGAGCCTTATGGCTTATGTACTACCAAACTGTTCAGGCTGGGTCCACCAGCTAAGTTTTTCCTTTTTTCTTTTCTTTTCTTTTCTTTTCTTTTCTTTTCTTTTCTTTCTTTCTTTTCTTTTCTTTCTTTTCTTTTTTTCTGTTAAGCATGGTATTATAATAAGTAGATATTGTCATTGTATTGAGTATGCATTTTTTAAAAAATTGAGGTATACATTGACATGTAACATTATATTAGTTTCAAATGTACAACAAAATGATTCAATATTTTTATATATTGTGAAATGATCACCACAATAAGCCTAGTTAGCATCCATCCCCATATGTAGTTACATTTTTTTTTCTTGTGATGAGGACTTTTAAGATCTACTCTTAGCAACTTTCAAATATACAGTACAGAATTATGTGTAAACTATAGTCACCATTCTGTACATTACATCCCCATTTATTTCGTTATAACTAAGTTATAAAGGATACCCTTCAGCTAACTTTCCTTCTAAAAATTTTAGTCTTATTGATTTAAGCCTTATAGAGGGTGAATAGTAAAAGTATAAAAAGAGAGTTAAAATTGTACTCTTGCTTTAGATATACTGCAGTTAATCTTTTTCTCTAAAATGTAGTATTTCCTGTTTTGTCACAGTCTATATTTTAAATCTGACAAGAATATAGCTAACATATGTTGAACACTCATAAGCACTTTATAAGCATTTTACATGTTTCAGCTTATTCAGCTCTCAGAACAATTCTATGAGGTAAGTTTTATTATTATCTCAATTTTGCATTTGGGGAAACAGGGGCACGAAAACATTTTCAAGTCTTGCTCAAGCTTACACAAGAGAATTAAAAGATGCCATCTGTATCTGAATCTAGACAGTCTTGTTCTAGAGCTTATACTCTTAATAGTATACTATTTCATGAACCCAAAGTTGAGGGAAGTTATTACCTAAATGTAATTTCTCTCCAAAGACTGAAAATATGGACTCCTTATTAACTTTCTAGATTTATCATCAGTTAGAACTCCAGCACTTCAGAAAGAGAAAGGAGCTAAGAAGCATGTGATCCACCGTACCATTCATTGCGGAAAACCTCTTCACAACGATATGATAGATAATTCCCCCTCCTCATTGTAGATACTTTAAATTAAAAGAAAAATTTAATGCGTCCCAAGAAAGTTCATTCTACTTTGGAGCAGCTCTGTTAGAAAAGGATACCACCCTAAATCATCTCTTCTCCCCTTCACCATAATTTTTATACCAATTAGACATGAATTAAAATGTATTGGTCAGCAGTAAGTGTATTGTAATAATAATCATAGTTAACATTTATTGAGTACTCACATGTGCTGACACTTTTAATGCTTAATGCTTTCCATGGATTAACTCTTTGACCCTCATTAACAATATGGATACTGAGTGAGAGGGAGGTCAAGTAATTTGCCTGAGTTCACAATTAATAGTGAAAACCAAATTTCTATCCCCATACAACGCAGTACCAAACTCAAGCTGTCTCCTGAGTTACATTCATCCATCATGCTCTTTCTCCTCAGGCAACCCCATCTCTTATCATTGAATCAACGAAGAAAACCTCTTGATGATGCCTCTTGGGAGATTACCTCCTTTCTGCTGAGACAGCTTTTTCTCTTCTCTTTGTCACTTCCTACCCACTCCCCGTCACACTACCCTTGCCACCCCTACTCTCCCAAGTTACTGTTTGTGTCAGCGAGGTAGGTCTTTTCAAGTTGTCTTTCCCCTAAGTGTTTATTATTTCTATTTCTCTATGTTTGCACCTGTGATTCTACTTGCATTTTTTTTCTTTTTTTTTTACTCTCATCTCACTTTTTAACCTCCAATTCATCTTTGAAAGTCGAATTTAATGCCAAACTTCTTCAAGATGAGTTCGCTGTAAAGAACAAGCAAAATAAAGTCTCCCCACCTTGCTAAAAGCTTATTTTATAGAATTATGGAATCTAAGACATGCAAGATGACACTAGACAGTATTTAGGCTGGTTCAACTTCACAACCATTGCAGAAATTCTTTTATATCGTTAGTTATAGATCATCATCAAACTTGAATGTTTTTAGTGATGTGTATTTCATTACTTTTCAAATCAGTCTGATTCATTGTTTGACACCTCTGTTACTTAGAAAGAAAGTTTTCCCTTTTAACAAGTCATATTTTCCCTCCCAGTAACGGCTTGTTATTGATCATAGCTCTTTCATTTTATCAATTTCATTGATTGTATTCCACTTAGCACTTTGTAGTATGTTAATTGTGTGGTTCTCGAGATCTGTCTCTTTGGTAAGTCTGAAAACCCATTTTAGTTAGAAATCATAATTTATACTTTTCTATTTCACTCAGTGCCTTATATACTTTTTAGCACAGACTAGGTATACAGTAAATAATAAACAATGCATTGAACTATGCTAATAGTTCAATATATGTGCCTATTTATATGTATTATATATGTATAATTATATAAATCAAAGTGGATTTTTTGTGTTAACCTGGCATTTACACACAATAGTAATAGTGCCCAAGGATAGCTAGAGTAATCCCTAACAATTGTGAAACTTATTTTCTCTCTCTGTCTCTCTCTCTGTCTCTCTCTGTCTCCCCCTCTACACACACACACACACACACACACACACACACACACGTTTTCACTTTGAATGTATGGGATGCCAAGTCCCTAAGGTGTCCAGCACACTTTTATATCGTAATTTTATGACAAATATTTCAGATATTTTAATCTAATTTGCTATTTAAGAAAGACTACTAGAAATCTAGATCCATTATCTATTGAATGGAAACCTAGATAAGATAGTGTCTTAACTCCTGGAGAGGTGGGCTAGAAGAGTGGTTAAGAGTGGAGCTTTTGAGCTCAGCAGTCCTTGACTGCTATTAACTAGCAGTGAGATCCTGAACAACTTCCTCAATTTCTTGTTGCTCAGTTTTTCCATCTCTAGAATTGAGATAATAGTACCTATTTCGTAGAGATTTGAGCATTAAATGGATTGATGTATAAAGTACATAGAGCACATATCTAGACTTCAATAAATGGTATTACTGCTAACAAGCACTCACCTTGTATCTGAAAGAAACATTGTAGCTAAGATAATATAAGAAGTAGCTCTAATGATCTCTAGTGATCAAATTTACTTTAGTTTTTTTACAAAACTCCATAGATCTTAATTTTTTTAAGAGAAATTCTTATGATTTTTCTTTTCAGCGGAACAGCTAGTTCAAGAAACTTTACTGTTTAGACATTTTCTAATATTGGTTTAACATTTCTATGTGTTTAATATTTCTAGTATTTGCTTAAGCAAATAATATGTAACTACTTTGATATTATTAACAGTGTTATTATTGGAAAATGGCTAAATCCTCATTCTCAACTTAGTTTTGACTGCTGAAGAATTTAAAGCTACAAATATATTTAACAGTGTCAAAGGAGTTTAGTTTTATAAGGCAATAATGATAAAATGCTAATATGATGTTTTATAGCACTTTACAGTTTTTAAAGTGCTTTCTTATGCGTTATAAAATGCTAACATAGTAATTCTCATTTATAGTTACTACTCAAATGTAAACCGTACAGCCCATTTTCCTTTTATCAGCTGAGTCTAGCTAAATTCAGGGAACTTTTAGAGGCTATGGGCTTTAAAAATAAAATTTAAAAATATATTCAGAGCCACCGGTTGTACAATTAAAAGCACTGTCACCTGACTCCTTGTGTGGGAAGCTGGAAAAAGGACTAAATAAATACTGGAACCTCAATCCTGTCAATCTAAAATTTAGAATCTAA